TCGAGGTTCATCAAGAATCAATTCGAGTCACCCGGAGTCATTGGGCGTCCATGGAAGACATTCAGGTGTGAATTGAAGTTATTGAAAGTAGTGCCGAAAAAGTGGATTTCTAACTGAGAGGACTTCCACTGACTCATGTTCATTCGCCTGTTCACCCGGGCTGTGTAAGTTAGTGGAATCCTGCTTTTTCTGTCTTGAGAATCGATGGAAGTCAGCAGGAATCGTCGAGTGCACAAAAGTCATACACTCAGCAATCTCCTTTCCAGCTTGGGTTGAGATTTTGTGTGAGTACGACGCTATGGTTCGAGATGAGAGTGCGAGTGTGATGTTGGGGTTACGTTGATGTTCTGATTGTCCAAAAAAATCGCATTATTCGAATCGAACAAGTCATTCGATAACCCGTTTCTCCGATGATACGATATTTTCAAGCTTATTGGGTGCAGGTGAAGTAGCGGAGTCTTCGAATTGGCCCGCATCTCATAATAGTATTTCATTTTCGCACTTCAGACCTACTTTTGATTCTATCAGACATATGTCGACACAGCAACTAGTGTCATACTTCCGCCAAAATGGGTTAAGCAGTTCGTAGTGGATCACACAGCCATCTAAATGTACATACAGAGAAAATGCAAACCGCACCCAAACATTTCCTACGCATTCTTATGCCACAATTCCACAGCTCAAAGCGTTGCATCGTTCTAGTTTGACTCCAAACTGCATCGAAATATCTATATTCAGCACTAAGGCCCGACGGGACTTAAAATAATGGAAAGCTAATGGCTTTCGGCTGGTTTTTGTCCAATACGACTCTGATATTCACTTTTTTTACTAGGCATTCCTAAGCTAGAATTATAGAGCTAAAAAAATTGTATCGTTTTAGCTTGACTTGAAAATGGACGCAACTGTCTACATTCAGCACAGAGGCCAGAAACATGCTAAAATGGTGAAAAATCAGAGTTTTCGGCCAGTTTTTGATCGATATGACTTTGATACCCACTTTTTTCACTAGACATTCCTAAGCTAGAACTGGAAAGCTCAAAAAGTTGTATCGTTTTAGTTTGACTCGAAAATGGATCCAAATGCCTACATTTGTCACAGACGGCAGAAACGAGCGAAAATGGCTAAAAATCTGTATAGTGAACAGGGAAGGAACTCTAACCCTGTGTTTTGGCTGATTTAGCCAGATAGACTGAATTCAAACGTTTTTTGAGTTTAGGAGGTATAGAGTGACGATTTGAAATAGGAAAGGAGCGCTTTCATGAGGGGGCTGATTTCTGTGCTGAACGCCCCCCCCCGTCCTTTGTTAATCTGTGACGACGTTCAAATATTTGTCCCCAGACAAAGTTGCGATTGCAGAGCACGTAGTAACCATGATCTCGGACGGTAACGAAAGATGAAAATGAGCTCTAGCGATTGTTCTTAATCCTGAGTATTCGACGTCTGTAGAAATTTGTTTTTATACGCCGACGGCGCCTGACCGAGACTAATTTAATAGCATCTGCGAAGCTTTGATCAAAAAACTGAAATTATGTCAACACAATAATAGCTCGGGAAACTTTTAATATGGGGAGAGGGATGTTCTCTTTCGGAGAGTGATGTATTCATGAATAAAAAAAAATTTTCTGAATCAATATGAATATATAAAAATGCTATTCAGAACTTCTAATAAACAAAAAAAAACAATAAAAGTAAGCAGACGAAATAAGATTTGCTATCAAGATTATCTCAAAATGACTTTCATTGAGAAACAATATACATCAGCCTTGCGTTGCTCTGATCAGGAGAATATCCATTTCTTTTGGTACATATATAAAAATGTATTGACATCACGATTTATTCGGGATTTTCATTCTTAATTTTATCGAGCCTGAGTAATGACATTGCTCTTAGCTAGTTTGATCCAAGTTAACATTGATACTCTGAGATACTAACTCAAATCGCTGCTGCTTGATAACAATCTAAATATAATGAGACAAGCGTCTTCGTTGATAATAGTTACAATAGAGATGTGCGGGATTAACTTTGGCTCTGATGCCGGTGCTTCCGATTGGAACTACGAAAAACAAGTTATTCGAACCAAAAGTATAGATTATAATTGAATGTTGTGTCACTTTAACCGAATTATCTTATAAACCATACAAATCTAAACATAATTCAGGAGAGATGATAAAAAAGTGCTAGTCTTCGCCTAAATAAATCAAAGAATGAACATTCAAGAAGTTTTGTTTAGATATGATACAAATAAATTCTGGAATAGTTTTCTCTAGAACGAGACCCGAAAAATTAAATTTATCGGAATATCTTAAAATGAAGTTATCAAGACTAAATCGGGGCTAGAACTAAAAAGAAAAACTTGGTTCTGTATATCTCTACATAAGAGCTATAGTGGTTATTACAATAATTGGAAGATAGAATTGATTTCAGAAAGGAAATTAAAACAAAAATATTGTTACACATTTCAATTTTTGTTTTCACTTTTCTCCACCGTGGATATCAATATTTTTTGCTCATAAAATTTTTCAACGTTTGTCCTCAGATTAATATTTTTCAATAAATAACATGCATCAGAATAGTAATCAAATAAACAATAGTTTTATTTTCATTTGTATCTATTGACAATTTGCAGCTATGCTTAAAGTCTCATAGCTCCCGTTTGTCTTGTAATTGAATATGTATTTTATCGATAACTTGATATAATCTAAATAAAATTACGAAACTAACAGAATGATTACACAAATCGACTTTGCGCCTAACAGGAGAGATTGATAGTTATATTAATACAATTAGTCAATAAAATTATTGCCAGACAAAACAATCATTCTCTGTAAGCCATGACTTAAAATGATAAATACATGTAACCAACTTGTTAGCGCTATTTTGTTCTTCGACAATGTATCCATATCCTCGAAATCGCTGAAAAATTGACAATTAATCATGATATATCGAAACGATAATGGCCAGTTGAAACGCCATAAATCAACGATATTTGTGATAAATTGTGGCTTCATAATCGATGATTATTCTTCATTATATCGATAATGGAAGTAATTTTGTTCATGTAACTCAGCTTACGACTCTTATACTGAAAAGTTTCTCTTACTAATTTATGATGATGAATATTTTTATTCAAAAATTGACTGCTTACTTTATTCTACATGAATAAAATATACAATAAAAATTTTAAAGAACCGATGGAACATGCAATTCCACCTAGTTAAATGAAAACATAATCGAAAAAGGAAAAAACTAAGAAAAAAACACGTTCATATATTTTAATTCATGTTTCGAATCAGTTTTTTCTCCGAAATCGCTTCAGGCATCTACGTTTTTTTATTAATAATTTAATTATCTAAAAACAGAGAAAGGAATAGAGATCATTATTAAAAAGTATGACAATAGATGAAGTCATATTAAAGAAGAAAGACAAGCTTTTCAGCTTTTAATTTATGTAGAATTAAAGGATTCATCTAAAACTGCATCTAAAAATAGAAAAATTCTAAGTGAAAATTATTTGATCCCAAAACATGTCTGAAGTTATCTATATTATTAAAAATATCTTTTCATGCAAATGAATGTGAGTGTGCAGTTTAGTTCAATTGTCTTCTAAAATTGTCCAATCTTATTAATATCATAGTAATGACATTCATGTCAAAGCGAAATTTTTCTTTTCATTTCATACTCCAATGATAAAATTTAAAAAATATATAGATTTTATATCTGACTCTCAATCTTACAGACTTGCAATATTTTTCAAATTAATTGGCGATATGGAATCAGTTACTGAAATCAGTAATTAAATTCGATTTATCGTCCGATTCTTGAAAAATCGTTCCTTGTACCTTAATCACGATAAAATCTGATTTAATCACTGAGTTTTTATGAAGCACGCGTCATCATGATTTCACGCTGAGTTTTTTTTGGAAATCACCAAAATCGTCACGATTTTCGCGACATGGGTAGTATAACATAAAAGTTGCCCTGTCAGTGATAGGTACTTTAATAATTAATATTTGCAATCCTTTCATATCCGACTAGTTCTTAATCGATTGTGACGAATACACTAATAGAAAAGAATTAGATAAAAAAAATTAAAGAAGTGCGAAGCAACAAACAAAACTTTTCGGAAATGATGTTTTCATTCAATTTACGCAAGCAATAACGCACATTGTGTCTAACTAGGAGAACCAATCCAACAACCGGATTCAATCAAATTCCTATCTTGTCTTATCAGATCCCATTAGAAATTCCCAAGGTCGGGTTGAAAAAAGTAGGAATATTATTTGAAACCGAATTATAGAGTGCTAGCTGGGTGCCTAGTGTTGGAAACCTTGTCAAATCATGTGACCGACACTGTTTCGATTTTCCTATCTGGATTGCATCATCAGGATCTGAGGGTGTGGATGTGAATGTCAATGAAAAGAAGGGTCACTTTCACACCCAAATTTAAGTTCAACAAAGCGTACCCGTTCGCAGCATACATATTGTACCAAATACTAACTATCAATATTACTAATCATCGTTTTTTTTCTTGATCTCATATCAATCGTATTTTGGTACGAGTAAGTAATGTCATTTTCTTGATAATCACACATTTTTTCGAACGCATCGGAGAGCAGCTCATTCTCTACAAGGTATCAATCCTCTTCCTTGTTGTACATGATGTTGACTAGTTATTAACTAAAAGATCGAATATCGTTTCTCATTAAAAAAAGCCCTTTTCATGGAATACGATGAAATCAATGATATTAGGATTCCGAATATTTGTAACATGGTATATTCTCATTTTGCTTTACAATCAAGAATCTATTGAAATATTATTCTCAATCCTAATCAATAGTTGTTATTCGTTGAAATAATAAAAAAATGAGACAATCGTGATAAAAATAAAGAAAGTAATCTCTTTTTACTACTAACAAGTCCTGAATTATATTTCGCTTTATCTCAACAAAGTTTCATGTTTATTAAGAAAAATACTACACATAATTCTGACAAGGATAATGTCATTTAAACAATTTCGAGAATAAAGATCTTTTTCTGTTTCGCTGATCTGATATTGTTTTTTTTTTAACGGGAGGTTTGATTTCAATATGTTCAATACCAGATTTACTTATTGATAAACCACGTTCATTTTCGACTCGTCTTATAAAATTATTCATTGTTTCACCTCCCGATTGTATTTGAAATGGTAAAGAATTCGGTTGATTTTTCATTGTAACGGAGGCACCACCAGGCAAAAAATTAGTATTTTTTTGTTGTTGAGTATATTGATCATCATTATCATCATCACTATCATCATTATTATCATTACTATTAGAGATCATTTTGAAATGATGAGGAGCAACTTTACTTATCGATAGGCCACGATCATTTTCAACTCGTCTCATAAAATTATTTAAATTCTCACCACCAGATCGAATACGAAGTGGTACTGAATTCGGCTGATTGATCATTCGAATATTAGTATTATTCGGTATAAAAATCGAATTGTCCTTCTTTGAAATTAATGGATCAATTTGAGCTTTAGTACAAATTTCTTGCCAAATAGTAAGACGTGACTTATGGATTACATCTGGATAGACAACGCGATGAATACCTGATTTAAAACGATTTTTGGTCAGAATACTTGCTGCTTCACCTAACCATATAACGCCAATAGAATGTTGATCAAGTTCAGAATTGTTCGGTCCATCAATCCATTTATCTTGTAATTGATCATGCAATTGAAGACCTTCACATGTCGATAGAATACTTAATGAAAAAAGACCTGGATCGAAATGTGGAACACAATTAACTTCATCTGTATTTAGACCAACTTTAGGCTGTTTTTTAGGTGCAGGTTTTTTATTAAAATAATTTACAATATCAAGCATACCAAACGGAGATAATTCTACCATGTTATCATTCGGATTTTGTGTAAATACGGGCATCTTGAACATGACATTTTTTAAAACATTGGTCAAATTATAAATTGATATTGCTAGATATTGTAACGCTTGTTCTACGTCATTCGATAAACGATGATGGAAATTCTTAAGACCATTTTGATCAATTAAAACTTTAATACCTTCTTTGTGACCGACATGTGAATAGCCAAAGGCATTGAATGATTCATATTGGGATTTTTCATATTGACTTCGAGCAAAAAACGCTGAGAGAATTGTTTGTATTTCGTTGAGTTTATTTGTTAGTTCACCATGTTTGTTAGGTAATCGAATAAAACACCAACCATGAGACTCAAATTCATTTTGCAAATGATTTATTTCACTTGAATCACCAAGCAAGAGTTTGTCGAAATTGACAAGCGTATGGTTGTTAAAACTCTGTTTAGATGACATGAAAAGGATCAAAGAAGAAAAAATGACGACACAACATCTTACTCCCTCTCTATAAGAATCTGAGTCATGACTCACTAATGGGTTATTGCTCAATCAAAAGAAAAAGTTAACCATAATAGTCTTTTATTGATCGCTACGAAATTTCTTTCGATAATATATGAATCATTTTTACTATCGCATCACAAGCATTCAGTTGACTTACATCAATTGAGGGTTGATTAGCTTTTTTTAGTCAGAATAAACTTACCAATTCTTCTTACGCAAATAACGAGGAATACTATGAATCCGTTAAGTGACATATTGTAAGAATTATATGGGAACCATTCAGATCGATGATTCCAGTCCCTAAATACGGCAGGAACGCGAAGAAAACGACCAGTGTTCTAGTTAATTCCAGTCTGTTCCAGCTTTATTCCTGCTGGAAACATTTGGAAAAGTACATGAAAAATACAAGCAGTATTCTCACTGGATAATCATTCTACCGGAACCGACCTCTTCCATACCTTTCCCGCCACCTGAATAACAAGGAAACTATACCGCATCCAGACGGAAACAAGAGGAGCCTACCGAGAAAAACAGGAAAATTTATCCTATTCATGTAGCATCACACCAGAATCGGAACGTATGTTCGTAGAGACATACCATAAATAATTGTATTCGGAAGAGGCCTTAAAAGGTTTTTTCGATTAAACTATCCATCGAAGACTCAAAAATGGCTTTTAAATATGGTATTTGTCCAACAAAAAATCTTAAAGATTTTTCCTATTGAATCAACCATTTGAGTCTTAAAAATATCTCGCAAATAAGATATCTGTCGAACCAAGATTTTCAAAGTTCTTTTTAGGTTACAATAGATTTTTGGCGATGAAAATTGTCTAGTTTGAAGTTACAGATCGAGGGAGAGAGAACGTTGGAAGATCGTTGCTTTATTAAAACTTTGTGTTATCTTTCATTATTTACTAGTGGCCAATATGTTTGGTAAAAAAGTGCGTTCAAAGCTCTTTTTATAAGGAATCTAAAACTGTGATAGAAATGATGGCTTGCATACCCATGATAGAGAAGGAACGGTATCAAAAGTTTTTTTTTCTTATGAATGCATGGTCAGGAATGAAAAAATGATTTAGAATATTACTGACAAACGTAGAAGTTTTTTAAATTCATCTCGATATTTGTGTTTGGTTGTGATATATAAAGTCATCTTTTGTGAAGGTCATTGAAGGAAAGGATTGTGCATTCCTTTTTTGTGATAAGGTAGCGTATTTGTTACTGTTTGTAGTTAACGGAATTTACGGGAAAAACAGGACTCTCTTAATTACACTGTTATTCAAAAGTCTAGCTGGTTTGGTTGTCTGTTTTGAAACAGTTTGAGAAATCTCTGAAAGATCTTTTTTTTGTGAAGTGGATTTATCGGAGATGTAAATTTTTGCGTATCGCTTACCTATGCAAGTGTGCGAAGTACCTATAGATGTGCCTGTAACTATTTAGACAATTATCGAGAGGTTTGATGTTTGATTACATTCGTCAAACTTTGATTGACAGTCGGATGGATTTTAATTGATTTTCAATGCATGTTACTTCTACCTGCATTGCGTCTAGAATCAACTGTAGTATGTCGTGGACGCATGTGTATAATTATAGTGAAGGCTGCCGGTTCGTGCATAGTTCGTCTCGTCGACGACTTGAAAACTGATAGTTGGTTTCATACTTTTCATGGCACAGTGACGTTTGGTGTCCTTGTGTTTGGATATTTAAAACTGAACTTTCTTCAGAATAAGGTATCCTACATAGATTGCGGTTCATACCTTTTTAACACAGACATGCACAAAGTGTATATACGTGCTTACAGATGTCCTAATGTTTGCATATTATCGATTTTGAAGGCCTCTTGATGTAAATGATGTGACATGTGTACTGTTATGAATATCTCATACATTTGTCAAAGTTCTTACTTCGAATCCCTCTAAACACGCCTGCCTCCGAAATAAATTCAATTAAGCCACGATAAATATATATGTAAAGAAATGGAGCGGTAAGCATCTGCATGTGAATAATGTAATCACTCTTTGATACAATGACTCATTCAGAAAAAGTGAGTTATCGAATGATTCTGAACGATTTGTAATCCAGTTTCGATCCATCATAATCTTTTCTTTTTGTTTATTTTTCCTCGTAGTTTCTACGAGGGGGAAACACAAGGAAACTCTCAGAAAATGCTATATACTTTCGATAAGAATTGTCAGTTTATTAAGTGGAACCTAATGTCATCATGACGTGAAGAAGAGCAGGTTACGCGAACTACATTCTATCGTCGTATCCGGGTGCTAGATTCGAGTTTCGCAATCGAATCCTAAACGACGAGATATGGACCGTACCTTGTTATTGTGGTAAAACATTGAAGCCGTATTCTGGAACCATGCCGAAATCCAACGGAAGAATGTTATCTCTCTAGTATTTTTATTTATTCGTTTGGAATAAAAATAAATTTGATTTAACACTACTCATAACACGAGATCATCAGGATGTGAAGCGAAGAAGGCAATGGCTCAGAAGATCAATCAGAAGGTTTTTGTTAATGTTGACCGAATTCAACAATTTTTCAAGATTGGACAGTCGTCTTCTTATTCCCCGCTAGCCGGGGTCGAATAGAATGACGCTGTGAACGGTCGTAAACGATATAAAACGGGAAAAATATTAGGACAGACGATGACTGTTTGCTAGCGACAAAACGGACTGACAGATTATGACAAAATACGCTGAAAATTGATATAATAATATCCTATTTTATAGTCGCTTCCGTTCACTTAAGACGCTGTTTCCGATGATCGGAATGATCGCCTAGGGGAAAATATCACTGGTATCGATTTCTTTCCGATAGATACATTAGATTAGCAGAGAATATGTGTGATAATTTTATTGTTTAACATTTCGCTTTTCAAGCAATAGACTTAAACAATAATTCATCTATTTCACATTATAGACTGTGTGTGAGCGACATCTGTTTTATTTTGACTAAAATTTACGATATTAAACTTTGAATTGGATAAAATTTCTTACCATTGTTCATATCTGTAGCACATGCTTGTGTTCTGTTGTGTCTACCTTTTGTGAAGGTCATCATCACAAAAACATTAATCATTTCGTTCATTGAAATTTAGATTATTAAAAAATAAAAATAAAAAGCACATACAAATGCCTGCTCCAATGGACATGGAACCAGATAGACCTTCAATTAATAGTCAAGCTACAGATGGTTATAGTCCTGATTTTTTTGATGGTTTGTGTCAAAAAGAAAACAATTTTTTTAATCGAATTTACACTTTTTTTTT